AGGATCTTCTTAATTTTAAGATTCTTCAAAGATAATAAAAATAATATTCTTTTGAAATATTAATATATGCATAGGTCACATAAAGACCCACTTATAGATAAGAAATGAGAACTGCTTTAATATAGCTGTATTAGAAATTTTTTCATCATAAATAAAAATACATGTAATTAGTCTACAATTATTCTAATTGTCTTCACTCAGATTATAAGTGTTAAACATTTTTCATAACATTTAAATATTATAGAGAACTAAGACATTTGAGCCAATGGTAAGGAGTAAAATATATTTTCTTTAAAAAGGTGTAAATATAAGAAAATTAAGTAAACAATTACATGATTCTCAGCAGGTAAAGTTTTGGATTTTTATTTAGCACAGGCTAGATTTCTTTCCACTTAATCAGAATTCAAAGAATACTGTTAAGATTTTAAGAATAAATATATGACACAAAAGTTTTTGTAGATGTATTTTAAATGCATATCTATCAAAATGTACATTGGTATGCTATCTTGATTTTGCAGAATCATAATTACTATGAAATAAAAAAAAACTAATTACCAGAAGTTGGAGATTTGCAGCGGTCCTCTGGAACAACAGTCCCTTCACTAATATCACACAGACCAGCTAAAAAATAAAAACAAAAAACAAATCACACCATAAATTTATGTAAGTGCAGTTTTGTCTTTTATTTACAGTACACATTTAACTACTGTCCATTTAAAAGAACCCAGTAAATTAACAGACTGTTGGTATTGATACCATGATCATTGGGTTTGAGATAAAAAACATTTTATAGTAAAACACCTCAAACTAATACAGCACTCATCAGTTAAAACAAATAAAAATATAACCTATGATAAAATACAAGTAAACAATTAATATGATTATAAATTTGCCTGGTGACTGAAGGTATAAAAACCCCTGCAAATTGTCTAAACATTATAAATGAAAGCACATCAAGAGTTTGGACTAGCTGGGCAAGGAGTCACATTGCTGAGCCTCAGAAGTCAGGTGTCACATTGATGAATAGAATGTGTATTTATCACCAGTATCTGCTTTTCTATTACTTTGGTAAAAGACATGATGTCACATTTCCAACAGTCACCAAGAAAACTTTTATAGTAACATTTTCTGAGAACATGAGTACTGAACTGGGCTTTTAAGAAAAGTTTTCTATTTTGAGATAAACATTAGTTTTCTTTATTAGATAGGAATTTCTTGAATGTGAATTAGTCGTTTTTGTTGTTGTTTTTTAAGTTTCCCTCTGTTGCCCAGGATGGAGTGTAGTGGCACAATCTTGGCTCACTACAACCTAAGCCTCCTGGGTTCAAGCGATTCTCCTGTGTTGGCCTCCTGAGTAGCTGGGACTACAGGTGCACACCAACACGCCCGGTTAATTTTTTATTTTTAGTAGGGATCGGGTTTCACCATGTTGGCCAGGCTGGTATCGAATTCCTGACTTCAAGTGATCCGCCCACCTTGGCCTCCCAAATTCAAATTTTGGCCCTCCAAAATCACACCTTGGGATTACAGGTGTGAGCCACTGTGCCCAGCTTGAGAATTAGCAGTTTAAAAAAAAATCTTCATCAAACTAATGGTCCTGGAAGAAAACCTGGTTTTTACAGTTCTAAGATGATAGACGTAATTATAGGTACATCTTTAATCTTTGATAAAATATTTGTTTATATACATGTAGTCTTTCTTGATAGAACACTAAGATAGAGGATCTTTAAGTAGAAGTGATAATATACTCTAGTTTTATGATGTGACTAGTACTGAATAAAAATGATCAAATTTGAAATTTTACCCCCTTGGTATTTTTGACAACTGCTACTAAAGATTATACTTAGGGGAAACCACTTTGAGGTTTCAGTTGAGGGTCCTTATGATATAATAATTACTAAACTTACTGACTAAAAAAGTTCTTAAACTTATATGATATAGTTATTCTTGCAATGGCCCAGGAAGAAACAGTTAGGAGTTGAATTAAAGAATGTGCATAGAGAAGATTTAATTTAGGTATTAAACGACTGTTAAATAAGCTACTTGGCTGGGTGATGTATATGATCCTACGGTATACTGTATCCTGTTACCTCTCAGACTATTTCCTGCTTTCGCTGACTTGCTCACCACTGGTTTGTCTCTTCTCCAGCCACACTGACTCCTTGTTGTTCCTTTAACTCACCAGGTGTACTGCTTCAGAGCAAATGGTGCTTGTTCTCTTGCATGAAATGTTTTTTGTTTCATTGATTGTTTTCCCAGACATCCTCATGGATAATAGCTCTCTCACTTCCTTTAAACCTGAAGTCATCTGGACACTCTATTTTATTTTAAATTTAACACTCCATCTCCGATATTTCAAATCCTCCTTCAATTATTTTTCCCCTTGGCACTATTAATGTAATCTACTGCATATTACTTATCTTCTTAAATGTGTGTCTCTTCCAGTAGAATATGAGTTCCGTGGGTTAGAGAACTTTTTCTGTTTTGCATAGCACACAGAAGCCTCAATATTTGTTGAATGGTTGAATAAATATATGTGAAAGAATTTCATTGCATTTAACCAAATCCATCCCGTTACTACTGCCAGAATCCCTTCAACAAATATTCCCAGCAATATAGCTATCTAGGCTTTGCTCAAAGATATTTCAACCCAATTAGCTAAGTGGTCTTAGGTGACACTTACTGAGTGCTTACTATGTGCCAGATATGGTTCTAAGTGCTTACTTCATTTAACTCTCATAGCAGCAAATGAAGTAGACAGTATTATTCTCATTTTACAGAAGAAGAAACTGAGGCACCCAGTGTTTTAGGCATTTTATACAGGAATAAAAACCTAATTACTTCTAGAAATGGTCCACTTCATTGCTACTCTTAGAGTTTTTTTTGTTTGTTTGTTTTGTTTTGTTTTGTTTTGTTAACTGGTGGAAAAGCTCTGCATGTTTTAGGACAAAAATCTGCTTTTTACAATGCCCTGGTTTAAAAATGAGGAGAAAATACAACATAAACATAGAACTATAATTTTAACTGTTCTAAACTTCTCACGTGAGTATAGTCAGCAGTTTTGCCACATTACTGGCACACATGAAGTTGTGGTCAACAGTAACAAAACAACCACCTGAATGCCAACAATGTTCACTCACAAGATTAGGTATGCCACATATGTCCTCTCACTTAATATTCACACCAACATTTTGAGGGAGTAACGATCTTCATTTCATAAATGAGAACACTGAGCCTCAGATAAATATCCTTTTTAGTATCATGAAGTTATACAAAGAGTGGAGATTTAAACTTAGATATGCCTAAACAAAATCTCCAATTATGTTTCACATGAACTACTCCTGAGCCAGTGTTTTCTGTTCTATATGTAAATAATCTTTATAATCTATACTCAGGGTTCAACAAGTATTGCTGATAAATCTTATTTCTTTGGTTTAAATTTACTGTTTCTACCTATAAATTTATCTTTTTGAGTTGTTACACTGCCACTGAATGTAATACCTCTCCCTTAAATTTTTAGTGACCATTCTGATAAGTGTATCTTCTCTTGCAAAAGTCCAGATAGGAAGCTACATTAACTATTTAAAATATTCAACAAAACATAATCCTATGCTACTTAAAACAATATATCCACTAACTGAGGCATACTACATCAAAGTAAATATTAGACCACACATTAATCCAGTACCATGGTTTAATTGAGAGGGTGGGCAAATGTTTTCTGTAAAGATCCAAGTAATAAATAGTTCAGGCTTTTTGAGCCAAAATCTTTGTCACCAAATAGCTGTTAAACTGCAGCACAAAAGCAGCTATAGACAACACATAACAAATAAACATGGTATTTCTCCAATAAAACTGTATTTACAAAATCAGGCGCTAGGCTGGATTTGGCCTACAAATAGTTTGCTGACTCTTGGTTTAACCAATCTTACCATCATTAAACTGAACTAGGTATTAAGGTCACTTCTACCCAACTGGTTCAAAAAAATATTCTAAAATTAATGATCAAATACCTCATTAATTTCAGGGAACATTATGTCAACAGGCTGCCATAAGTCATCAATGGAGTTACAAGATTAAAAAAGTAAAATTGATTTTGCTACAACTTACTTTTAGTGAACTTCTGCTGACTTCAACTAATCATTTCTATTTTCTATATGCACATAAAGGCATCAGTTACATAGCAGCTCATTCTAGAACTCTGACTAATTTGTGCTTCAAATCAACTAATATGTAAAATGTTGACCTTCACCAACTGGGGATACCTTTTAAATTCACCAATTATCTTGATATTCTTTTTATTATTACTTGATTTGCCTTATTTACATAAAGGACCTTGGGCTTTAGTTTCTCTTTATTATTATAGCTTTCATACTCTGCAGAGAGAAAAATGATTCTTCTTAATGTAGCACTCAGAATCAAAGTTACTTAGCTCTACTTTCTGTTTTTTTCAACTATTATTTAAAATTATCCCTAAATTGAGGCTCTAATCCTTCCTAAACCAAACAGTGTCTTATTTTGTATTATGAAATCAGCCTAATTCAACACAGTACTTATTCATTTTTGATTGTGCCTGACTTCTTATACATATTTTTTGCTTCTTCTAATATACACACAAACAGAACTTCTCAACCAGTACTATGGTGCTCCATAACTCTCTCTCCTTTTCCATCTTATTGAAAATATTGAAGACTTAAAAGTAATTGAAATTGTAGTAAAAAGGTTCATACTTAAAGCCTCCAACCCATAACTTTTAGAAAAAAAAATCTTAAAGTCTAGATACAAACTTTTGCCCATAATTTCCTTCTTTATAATTATAACTTCCTAGAGCATGCACTCTCCAGCATGTGTCTGTCACTTCCACATTACTAATTAGATCTTTTGAATTATATTCAGATTAGAAATTTCTCTTGTTGTGTCCTTCACTTTCTGAATGATAAAACAACCAGCAAAACAAGATATATATTATCCTGTTTTTAGTAAAATCAGATTTTTAGCAGATATATGGGTAGCTGAAATACTTTATTACTGTTTGTTTGTGACAGTTTTACAATCTTTATTATGAAAACACAGCCCATGTTTTACTCAATAATACAACTGTATTGTAATACAGCCATAACACATTTAAACTTACCCTAAACAGTTTTGTCTTAAAATTCATGTGAACTACATTCTTTATAAAAATATATCAGCTTCTATTAGTAGCAAAACAAAAAATTTCTCCGAACTGTTCTTTTAAAAAAGCCTGAAGAACAATTTGATGATATTTGGTCTACACCTAAGAACATGTTATAAAATATGTATGTTAGAAAGAATATCATTTTTAAGATCACAACAAAGAATTTTTATGCCAATCATTCTAATTTTATTTCAAATATTTATAAATTTAGGGGGATTAAAGTCAGAAATATTCTTAAGATGTTATTTTAAAACATACTTTAATATAATTTTAATTTTTACTTAAAACATAACCCTAAATATTGACAAAGCGAGGCATAATAATGGATAAATATCTTAAACTAATAAGGAAAAACTCAATTAGGTCTCCTGTGCCTAAACAGCTAATTCTTCAATAATAAAATAAAGCAAATAATAATATAAATAATACGTATTGTAGGATTTACTGGAGAACAATGTAGAATGCAGTGAAATTTTAAAAAGCATTTTTTTTTTTTTAGTATTTTTAAAATTACATGGTACAATTAGTCTCTATCCTTAGATAAATCTGGGCATTTAATTTCCAGCAATTTTACATAAGCTAGTATAAGGTATGAAGGAGAAAAGCGATTACTTTTATAGATAGTGAAATTTTTACCACATTTGTAAAATAAACGGTTTAAAGGTTTTATCTTCAAAAAATATTTCTTCTCTACCATGATAATTTTCTAACATTCTAGCACTAAATAATAGTATCTTGGCTTTATAAAGAAATAGAATTGGGGCACAAGTATTTAAACAGCTGTTTTCATACACATGTTATGAGATGAATCTAAGTAATGAGTATAGTGTTTTACACATAGAATGTTTTAATAAGCGCTTTTAAAAATTAACAACAAAAAACCCAATGATTTTACAAAGAACAAACATGCCAAGGCATAAATGACTTACTTAAAAAAGAAGAACGAAGTTTTTTCATAGATTCAGAATATAAGCTAGAAAGGCCGCACATGCAAGAAGTCACAAACAGCACACCTTAGTGAAGCAATGAAAAGTGGAAGGGAAAAAAAAGGAGACAAAAATACTAGAATGGTATGATTGGGACAACAATCTCTGCTAAAGATATTACATGACAAAATGATCAACACTCAAACAAACATGGAAAAACAAAACTTTGAAAAGAAAAACTCAATTATCAAGCCAAAATAATAGAAAGGTCTATATCCCCTCATTTATCCCCCACAAATTGTAAAATTTGCAGTATTAGTTAATAATGTACCAAACACAACTGAAAAATGAATTGCAGAATAGATTTTAATTCAGAGGGTATGAGTGAGGAAGTACAGACCAGTGCTTCCCCAACAGTATTTCAATGCACACTGGTATTCTGCAAATGAGTTAAGTATGCCCCAAATAGGGTTGCCGTCAATCTCTGGTCCGGCTGGGCAGATCCTGAGGAAACCGGATCCAGCAGGCCAGTTACTACTGGAAGCCTCATTAGTGTACCGTGTGTGCCATACATCAAATGCCATTTTTTGTGTGTGCCATGAAATTTAAAAAAAGGGCAAGAAGTAATGGTATATATAGCTAAGTATACATGTATACCTTGAGGTATTAGTGTTAGAACATTTAAAATTAAGACTAATTACCTCGCAAACATAAAAGAGCTCTATAAAGGGAATTCTCAATGAGTGTGGGCTTACATTTAATCAAAGCTATCTGAGAATGCTGTATTTTCACAGAACTAAAATTTACTTTTGCATCTTCCTTTTCCTTCCATGTGGGAATGATTCCTTTGAATGAAATGGTTGAAACAATAAATATTGGTCTTATGAAAAGGAGTAAAAACTTTGAAAGTAACTGTTTTTCTACAATAATGATGCAAATATTCCTGTCATTATATTTTAGCTGAAAAGTTTGATCCTGTGGTTCTTTCTCAATGTGGAATAAAATCCTAGAATATTAAAAAGAAAAGCAGGCCAGGCGTGGTGTCTCACACCTATAATCCCAGCACTTTGGGAGGCTGAGGCAGGTGGATCACTTGAGCCTAGGAGCTTGATACCAGCCTGAGCAACATAACAAAACCCCATCTCTACAAAAAATACAAAAAATCAGCTGGATATGGTGGCATGTGCCTACAGTCTTAGCTAGTCAGGAGGTTTAGATGGGAGGATCACCTGAGCCCAGGAGATCAAGGGTACAGTGAAGGCACTACTGCACTCCAGTCTGGGCAACAGAGTGAAACTGTCTCAAACAAAACAAACCCGAAACCACAACTACAGAAACCAAAAGACTCACACCTTTTGCTAGTTTTTGGTAGTTTACATATACAGAATAAATCAGGTAAGCTTTTACCTAACTGAAATACTTATATTCACAGAAGTAAGTCAGCATTTATAGAAATCCTAAAGCTCAGGATTTTCTTTCCTTTTCTTTTTACCTCCTGAAGGTTGTCGAGATTTACGAGGAGATCGGGGTTCTCTCCGATAAGGATCATTAGAGCCATACAATTCAATAGTGCCCAGGTTGAGCAGCACTGCTTTCTGGAGGTAGTCAACCATAGCAATGCCATTGCAATTGCCAAAAACCACCCTGGGAATAGGAAAATAAACATTTTAGCACAAACAAATAATTTCAAGAAAATGTACTGTAGTCTAAAAGGCTGAAGAATGCGGCATGGTCGGTCTTTCAGAAACTTCTTTGAAACAAAACACAGCTATAGGAGCTGATATATAGGCTACATATGCCTTCTCACAGAACTGTTTAGATCTTCTGCAGACATTAATTATTTAATATCACTAAATCAATCAACTGTATTATTTATAAAAAAATATTTGACATAGGAGTTGAAACTTGATCAGAGAGATAAATCTCTCACACCTCACAATGCAACATCTATTTTTCTACCTTGGGGGCATTTTGAGATCTTCATGGGTAGGAGACATTCCCTTCCTCTAGGCAAATAGGAGATTATACATTGGGCCAAGTTTTGGTAATCATTCAAGTCAAGAATAAAAAGTAGAAAGCATACATCTTGAAGGCTCCCTTTGGGGTGTTCTAAGTACCTTCTCAATTATGAGTCAGGAACTATAAACCAATCAACTATGAAAAAAGGAAATTTATTCTTTTAAAATCTTTTAAGCCAGAAATGGAAAACTGACATATATAGGGGGCTATGTAAGTAAGTAAAAGAGGACACGTAAACACCATTGTGACTTAAGAGTATATGGCACATCTAACAGGAAAAGCTTCAACTCAGTTCCAGCTGAAGCTGCCATGCAGAAAAGTGGACATGGCCACATAATCAGATTTTTAAGTTGAAGCTTAAAGTATGGATTTATATAGTCTTGGTAACCAATAAAAATTCTAAAAATAGACAGAAAGGGCCAAACAAAATAACAACTGTAAGCTCAGTGAGGCCTGCAATTGACTGATTTGCAATTTCCTTTGAAACTTCCTATTGGTTCTTTTTCTCATTTCCTATTTGTTTTCTTTATGGTTGTGGACAATAAAATATCTATATGTGCTCTTACATCATGTGGCAGCAAATAAAAGATATGAGAGAAAACTATCTCTGACTGTAGCCAGTGTTATTTTGATGTATAGTCGCCCCTTGTCTTTAGAGTTTGGTTCCAGGACCCCCACAGATACTAAAATCTGTGGATGTACAAGTCCTCAATACAAAAGGGCATAAAATTTGCATGTAACCAACATACAGTCTCCCATACACTTTAAATTATCTTCAGATTATTAACATACATCTAATACAATGGAAATGCTATATAGATTTTATACTGTATTTTTTAACTTTATTTTTAAAAATTGTTGTATCGTTTCTTGTTACATTTTCTGAATATTTTGATCTGCTGTTGCTTCAACCCATGGATGAAATAGGTGGATACAGAGGGCTAACTATACAGCTGCAAGAGACAGAGTAGGTGGTGGGAGATACCAGCAAGAAAAAAAAAAATGAATGAGTCCCTAGGGCCAGCATCAAGCAAGGAGACAATGAACTACACATGATAAATAGCTCCGGGACTGAAGTTTCTTACACTGCAGTGTTGATTTTTGATACAAGAAAATAATAAATGCTTTATAAGTCTATCACATTGTAATAAAAGTATATATAATTAACTATATGGCTGAAGGCATGAATTGACAAATAAAACAAATATACTGTAGTATAGATAAATACTAATTATTGTCATGCCTTTACAACTTATACAAGTTCATTGGAAATAGAAAGAAAAATTACATAGCTACAGTTCAACATTTACAAAAATCAGTATATAACAAAGTCTTCTGGGTTCATGTTGTTAGATTTCTATTATAGTAACTATTAATAAGAAAGTTGTTTCTGGGAGTTTATATCTAGGAGGATATACTGACTTTAAAACATCATCACAAATAATCTGTTGGTCCTTGAGGCATTTAACTTTACATCAGAAAATAGTGCATGCACACCCAAAGTAAGTTACTCGGAATGAAATTATGTTCCAAATAAACACTGAATTTGGTCTGAAATTAAAGTTATAGAATGCCATTTTAGGTAACAATATAACAAAGACCATCTTTTCTATTTTTAAAAACAAAATGAGGTATGGAATACTATGAAGAGACTTAGGAAAAAACATAAACTTATACTTACAATCCATAGGAAGAATTGACTGCCAGGCTGGTTATTTGTTGTGGTGGTTCTCCACCCACCCAAACCAACTGAATAACTAGTTCTGTCTGATAACCTGGAGACTGTTTAAGTGGTGAGTTTTTAACTCTAAAATAAAAGAAAACATGTTAGCTTTTAACCCATTGTCAACTATTGGCCTATATGATTATAAATAACTTTTTATATAAAACTATACTAGATATTTAAAGATATAGAAGTCAGAATCCTGTTATCTATAAGCATCTAATCTAGTTGGTGGGACTAAACAAGTATGTAATTAACAAAAATAAATCATATGCAAACTCTACATATAAAGTGGGGGAGGATAGCTGGGGTGAAGGAAAACAGAAAATAAGAAGTAAGGAGGAAGAAGACAGAAAAAGAAAAGAAGGAAGGGAGGGCTGGGGAGAAAGATGAAGAGAAGTGGCAGCCCAAAAATTAAGAAGAGAAAAAAAAGTCAAGTTAAAAATGTAAGTTAGAAAAGCAGGTTTAAAACTTAAAAATGGCTGCGTCCGGTGGTTCACGCCTGTAATCCCAGCACTTTGGGAGACTGAGACGGTTGGGTCACCTAAGGTCAGGGATTCAAGACCAGCCTGGCCAATATGGTAAAACCCTGTCTCTACTAAAAATACAAAAAACTTAGCCGGGCATGGTGGCAGGCACCTGTAATCCCAGCTACTTGGGAGGCTGAGGCAGGGAAATAGTTTGAAACCGGGAGGCAGAGATTGCAGTGAGCTGAGATCACACCACTGCACTCCAGCCTGGGCGACAAGAGCGTAACACCATCTCAAAAGAAAGAGAAGAAAAAAAAACTTAAAAAAACATGATGTAACAAAATGAAAACTATCCAAAAACAAGTTAAAAAATGAGTTACAACAAATATGAGCAATTTATTTTTGCGTGTACCTACTTTTACTACAAATCTGCCTTGACTTTGAGCTGACAGTATTTTTGACTGAAGAGACTCTTTTTTAATAACTGCTGAAAATGCTACAAAAAATGCTCTTGCAGAACATATGCAGACAAAAAGCCCATGTTCAAGCAGTGGTAGGGGTGTGTAGTAAAAGTGAGAAGATAGCAAGACAGGCTAGGGCCAGGTTTGAGAGGGTAATCAAGTCTTGTCCAAAAGTTTGATGATGATACGAAGAATTCTCAGCAAGCTGGACCTTGAGTCCAGACTCTTACTCATCAGCTGTCTTCTAACCTAAAAAGTGGGACTATTACTACCTAGTCACAATATGCAGACACTGAATGCCTATGAAAAGTGCTTTGTGGATGGTCAAATCAGACAAAAATATATTTTCATTATTAAAGATTTAAAAGCCAGGCCGAGCGCAGTGGCTCATGCCTGTCATCAGAGTACTTTGGGAGGCCAAGGCAGGCAGATCACTTGAGGTCAAGAGTTTGAGACCAGCCTGGACAACATGGCGAAATTCTATCTCTACGAAAGATATGAAAATTAGCCAGGTATGGTGGCATGCGCCTGTAGTCCCAGCTACTGGAGAGGCTGAGGCAGGAGAATCACTTGAACCTGCTAGACAGAGGTTGCAGTGAGCCAAGACTGTGGCACTGCACTCCAGTCTGACAGACAGAGTGAGACTCCATCTCCAACAACAACAACAAGAAGCACTAATTATAAGCCAATGGAGGTTGATAAGAAATATTTGGGGAAGATTAACTTGGTGAACACAGGTAAGAAGAAGTAGAATAGGGACACCAATTGGGAAGCTCTTGTGATTCTGATGTGAAATAAGAAAAAGGTAGATTGAAACACATAAATGGAGTAAGATTAGACAAGGCTTTACATTTCAGGAAGGCTGAAACCTTGCAGCCATTAATCCTTTAACACTGGTATAAAGGACGTACTCAATGAGCTGGAGGTTAATCAGAGGTAGGGTAGAGGAAGAAAAGAAGACAGTGAATCTACAACCTGATAAAAGGAAGGGAGGGAAGGAGGGATAAAGGGGTAGTTTTAGGGGACTATGGGGTTAAGTTTGAGATGATGGTAGAAAACTACAAGTGAAACTAATCAGCTAGTAGTCAAATCTATTCCCAAATCTCATCAACAGTTAAGTCCATGCTGAACTTAACACTGATTAAACTTACATTGATTAAACATATGCAAAGCCTTGTTATTTCAACAGTTCTTAAGGCTTCTGCCTTGAAATGACAGTGTATGAATGAACAGCAGGAAGCCTACTCAATATTGAATTACCTGCCACCAAACTCAGAGGAAAGAACCCTTCTGAATCATTCAGCGGGTATTTCTAGTGGGAAAGACCATGGCACCTGATGTTTTGATGACACATATGCTAGGAAACAGCAGCTTGTTCAGACTCCAGGGTAAATGTGAATAACCAGGGATTACAAGAATAACACTGCTTACAAGAATTGAGCTATAGTGCACTTCTGGCTGGGCAAGGTTTGCAAAGCAATACATTCAGAACTGTACACTGGCTGAGGCAAAATTTCTGAATTATTCTCAGGAAAATACCCACTAATCAGCTATAACTCTCCATCTCAGGCAATAAAATAACAACTGAGGCATTTCATTTCTTCCCAGAGTCTGCCGTGACACAGGAGCAGACTGAAGGGTCTGAGTGGTCTATCTTCTCTTTGCATGAATTAGGTATAGAAGGTAAGGGTCAAGGAAGTGTCCTCTCCCTCTGGCATATTAAATGTGCACAACAGATTCTCAAGAGCAGGACCAGGCATTCCAGGGATAATTTTAGAAGTGCATACATGGGCACATTTAAGATTTAAGTGACCAGGTTACATAGAACTCATAGAATCCTTAGTACAAGGAAACAAAACAAAACAAAAAAATGTTCTTAAGTAAAAATAAAAAGGCAGCCAAACGTGACACAAAATGGTAAAGGATGAGAAATCTACGCAAGAAATGAAAGCAAGTAAGTTATATTTTAAAAATATGAAATGGGAAGAGGGTGCTGTATTTTATTCTAATGGTTTTAAGTTACCATTTTAATGTTTTAAATATGTTCAAGTTAATTTGTTTACTTTTTAAGGAAAAAGTTTTGGATCTTTATAAAAAGCCCCATAATTTGTACAAATGTATTTTAAATGTTAAAGTGATGTTTAGAGCCTCACAGTTTCAAAACGATTGTTTGAGCAAGTACCTTGCAAAGGGACAATAAAAATACTTCAAAAACATAAAATTTAATTGGTAAAAGAAGTTAAGTCAAATAGCTGCCTTTTCTTTTTATGAGACAGAATCTCACTCTGTCACCCAGGCTGGAGTGCAGTGGCATGATTATAGCTCATTGTGGTCTTGAACTCCTGGGCTCAGGCAACCCTCTCACCCCAGCCTGCAGGTGAAGTCGCCATGCCTGGCTAATTTTTTAAAAACCTGATCGTAGAGATGGTGTCTTACTATGTTACCCAGACTGGTCTTGAACTTCTGGTCTCAATCAATCCCCCTCCTTGGTCTTAAACAGCTGCTTTTAAAATGTTTCTTCAAACAAACCAATAGTGTACAAAGGCATTTTGTATGAAAAAAGCCTAAATATTAATTATATTTTAACATCAATTTTTATATATTTCTTACTTTAAGAAACTGGCCTTTAGGACTGTGGACTAAAACAATGTGAAGTTAATAAATAACTGCATTTATCTGAAGACTATTAAATGGAAAAAATGAGGTATAACTTGCTTGTGATTTAAAAAAAAAATCACTAATGAATATAAACATTTTAGACGAAAATGCCCAAAACTTGTATTTTACATATTTCACTAGTTTATACAATATTCTACTAAAAGACAAGTTATCCCTCTCATGACTCTGTCTCCAAAAATTGGTCATTTAGTAAGGCAATACTAAAGAATTATTATTATTGACAAATTAATTTTAAGATAACAGCTGAAGAAAATGAAATAGTTATCATGCAATCTCTATGTTTACAATCTTCCCATATGTTCTTGTTCCTGAGTTTTCTCCAAAATCCAGAAAAAGGATCAACATAACCATAACTATATCAATAGAGTCATTACTTTATATTTCTTACTATGATTTATGTTTCTATTTTTAAAAATCATTATTTAAAATTTTAAGTAATTTAAATGTATAATTTGATGTAACAATATATAGCATTATCTATTAAAGTTAGTAAGAATTTCTAATCATGTGACTAGCCAAAAAACCCCCTAATAACAATAATCAGGCACATGCACACACACACACACACACACACACACACACACACACACACACACACTCAAATTAGCATGATTGCTTCTCTACATCTGGTGTATCTTCTTGAGTGTCAGCAGAACTCCTGAGCTTCTCTCTATCCTCTTTCTAACTCAGTCCCAAGAATGGGAGAGTCCCTAGGTAGCTGGTAAATATGGAAATAATTAATGAAGCCCTCTTATTTCCCTATCACTCTGTGTTCCTTTGGAAGCAAGTCTGCTCAGAGAGTGCATTTTTTTCCTGCTCCTGCAAAGGCAGTGTTCTTAATACTGCCATGATTGGGAGGATAAGACTGCTTCTGTATGCAGGTCAGTTTGAATCAGGAAACCTACCTGGCTCTTGTGCTAGTTGGCATCATTTACCTTTACCAATAATTAAGGTGGTATTTTTAGTCACTATTTGAAATTATTTCTTAATGTGTTAAGAATACAGATGGGGGCCAGGCACAGCGGCTAACATCTGTAATCCCAGCACTTTAGGAGGCTGAGGTAGGCAGACTGCTTTAGCCCCCAGGTCTGAGACCACCCTGGGTAACAGGCCGAAACCCCATCTCTATAAAAAATACAAAATTAGCTGGGCGTGGTGGTGTGTGCTTGTAGTCCCAGCTACTTGGGAGGACTGATTGAGCCCAGGAGGTGGAGGCTGCAGTGAGCTGTGATCACACCACTGTACTCCAGCCTGAGCAACAGAATGAGACTCTATCTCTTAAAAAAAAATCCAGGTAGGTAAAGACAAGCATAATTTCTGGGCTCCTTCGTGGACCCTAGTAAGCAATTGCAGTTGACAAGACTGACTGAATCTCTTATGAGTGTCTTTAAAGTTTGAACTGCTTCAGAGTTCCATCCATTTCATAAAACATATTGATAGGGCAGTTTACCTCTGACACAAAAAGCCACTTCCAAAAAGAACTGTCCCTTAAAACATTAACAGTCTCAAAATAGAATGAATTTATAAAGTTTTATTATACACGAGGTCAGTGTACAAAAAACCAAAACAGAAGAAAAATTATTAAAGTAACTCAATGTAATTACCTTACATATCAAATGTGATATGCTCAAAGGTCTAAAGGACAGCTGCCATGTTATATTTTACTATTCATCTAGTGTTTTACTATTAGTGGTCATTTTAATACTGCAATTTTGGACTTACTTTTGTTAACAGATAAACAATATGAAACAGAATAATTCCAGGCTAATCAAATTACAGGAGAAGAGTGGCTTGGGTAAGAGATTTAAAATTATTTACATTATA